TCTTCCTGGAATATAACAATACTTGAAATACATTGCCTTTTAAAATATATTGCTATGATACCTTTAACGTATGAAAAGTTATGAGCACGTCAAGAGAATTTTCAGAGAATCTAAATTACCGACAAATTTAGAGGATCGGAATTTCTTCTGTGCAGAATATGATCCACTTACGTAATACAAAGGGTTGTATCCAACATAGCGCTAAGTGAATGTTCCAGCAACAGCAGCAGGATTTCCTCTTGTGCAAAGGAATGGTTTCCCCCTCTTCTTCTCCCCACATGCCCTGCAAATCTGTTCCAGCGGTTCTCCCAACCCTTTGGAGCAGATTTGTGTGGGGCACACAGCACATGTGGGGGCAAGAGACTTCCATTGAACAATTTGAAATCCTTTCAGTGATGGGACACAACGGTTGAATACCACCCAAAATTACTAGGTGGGATCTAACCGGGCATTAATGCAAGAAGTTTGAGAATTGGCATTGTTTGAAGAAGTTTGAGAATTGACATTGTTCCATGAGCAAGAGCACAAAAAGTTTAGCTGTCATTGGGCAGAACAGCAGCTGTGCTAAGGCTTGAAAACATATTTTGCAGGCACAAGATTGCTGGCAGATTCAGCTGTTGCGCCTCTCTAAAAATGGGGCTCCTGCTAGTGGAATGGCTGTTGCGCCGGGGGAGAAATACAACTGAGTATCTCTCTCAGATAATTAATATTTCTAAAGACCATTTGATGTATAAGGGCCTTGCAAATGTTAATATATTTCGTTCGACAATTTACTGAACAACTGCGCTGAGAAATGGCCATTCACAGACTCAAAGACTAAGACTGCAATCCTATGCATATTTATAGGTTTCTCTGTAAGACCTGCTGAATGCAGCAATACAGTCATAGAAGAAGAAGAAGAGTTTGGATTTGATATCCCGCTTTATCACTACCAAAAGGAGTCTCAAAGCGGCTAACATTCTCCTTTTCCTTCCTCCCCCACAACAAACACTCTGTGAGGTGAGTGGGCCTGAGAGACTTCAGAGAAGTGTGACTGGCCCAAGGTCACCCAGCAGCTGCATGTGGAGGAGCAGAGACGCGAACCCGATTCCCCAGATTACAAGACTACCGCTCTTAACCACTACACTACACTGGCTCCCAAGACCTCGGGTTCATACCTCGGGTTGAAGTAGCTTCGGGTTGAGCATTTTCGGGTTGCGCTCCGCGGCGACCTGGAAGTAACACAACGTGTTACTTCCGGGTTTCGTCACTCGCACATGCGCAGACGCTCAAAATGAAGTCACGTCCATGTGCGGAAGCGGCAAATTGCGACACGCACACGCGCAGATATGCAGACATGGGTTGCGGTTGCTTCAAGATGCGAACAGGGCTCTGGAATGGATCCCATTCGCATCCAGAGGTACCACTGTACTTAAGGCCAAAAGTACACGTTACCTTAATAAAAGCATTTCTTCTTAACATGTGCAGTACACAGGATATTCTTTCTTAATCGAAAACAACTACGGGGGGTGGGAGAACACCTGTATTGGAGGCATGTTGCTGTGGGGTGAGGCTAACCTCTTTCATCCAACGCCCCCGCTCCAAGTTGTATTTCTTCCCAAACATGCAGTTTGCTCCATACTAAAAAGAGGTGAATTCCAGAGGGGCTCCTCTGGGAATTCTTAGAAGCCATGTGAAAGAAGATGCTCCATTTGAAAAGACCATAATTTCAGGGGAATCAATATGCTTTGTTTAGTCCCCCACCCCCAGTTCCGAAACCTCCAGGATCCTGCCCCCGCCAGCTGCTCAAGAACAAAAGTCTAAGTAGAAAGTTAGAACCAAAGGCATAGGTCTCATCCGGCACCTTGAAATGGTCACCAATCATTACAAATTGGTGTGCATGCGCACACCACATATGTTGAGAAAACCATGTCAAGTTTTGCCCTCCCAATCGCCACCCCCAAAATTTGTTGTTTACGTGCGTTTCTGTCGAGAAATCCTAGCATGCCTTCAGCTCAGACTTTCTTGTTTGGTGAAGGAGAGGTGAGCAGAGTAAGAATCGACATTATGATGTTGATAAAAGGTAAGGCCAAGAAGCCGACCTTAATTACCTATTAAAGTTTCAAAGTAGAAGCTGTACAGAATAGTACTTCAAACGACTTGGAGAAAATATTAGCCTTTATTACATTATCTTGCTTGAAAAAGTACTTGAATGGGATTCCAAGGCACGGATTGCTCAGGCTGAATCTCTAATAAATGTACTCTGCCTTGCTTTTCTATATGGGCATGATGGATTCTATTTCCTGAATTTCATGGGGGTGGGGGAATCTGTTAATAGGTACTCAAACCTCCCATCAGCATTTAAAAAAAAACCCAAGACATGCATGTCAAGGGGCAAAGTGAAGCTAAATGTGGAGAGCCTCTCTTAATTAGAATATTTTAATAAAAAATTACATTGACATTTATGCAGTGGTAGCTAAAAATAGAATTTTATTGCTTTAGACAGATCTAGGACTTCATCCTAAAATGGATACTTACTTACTTGAGCAATTATTTCTTATGTAAATAGATCATTTCACATGGAGGCAACTTTCAAGAGAAGCTCCTCAATGTTCACACATTGCTTTTCTTTTCTTTTTTAAACATTCTAGGTCCACTTCCAAAAGTTAACACCTGTATGGTTGTTTGTTTCAATGTTTCTGTTTTAATTATGTGCAATTTTATTCGTTACTCCAACATCTTTGCTGCCTTTCTACATCAAGGTGCTCTAGATTGTATATAGCAACAAAATAAACAATCTGTTGAGTTTTTTTAAAAAAATAAAATATTATACCAAGTGAAAACTAATTGAAATAATAAAAACATGACGGAAACATCCAGCAGATGCAAACAGCATGCAGAACCCTTAAGATACCAACCTAAAAGAACAATATAGGATTTCCCTGAGTGCCTGGCATATTTAAACCTGTCCTTGATGATTTTCTAAATTGTTATAAGGACACTGTTTGGGAGGGCTTCATGGGGAGAACATTATATGATAGCAATGCCACCGCAGAGAAGATCCTGCTCTGAGCAATGCTGACTTAGGGGAGAATCCGGTGGCAAGATCCACCTTGTTGAGCAGCCTAGAATGCAGTGGATCTCCAGCTCAGCCTCCATTTAATCCCCAACCCCAGCTCAGCCAAAGGCATAACTTGCTCATTCTGGCTCAGCCAATGCTCAGAGGATTGCTCCCTAACTTCCCTAGGGTGCTGCTTCTGAACAAATTGCCCTGGCTGGCACAGCCCATTAGATGCTGGACTAAGTTCAAGGTGCTGGTGTTGGTTCCTACCTTTAGAAGTCCCTCTTGTTACAAATCAGACAGGCTCCATCTCTATTATGTTCTCGGCACCTTCCAACAAGCGGGGATTTTTACACTAGCTTTCATCTGCATTGGACTAGACACTGCATTTCTATATATTTTTATTTCTATACTTTTATTGTTAATTATACTGGGATGTTTCATGGGTAGTGAAGAAAGAAAGAAAGAAAGAAGAAAGAAAGAAAGAAAGAAAGAAAGAAAGAAAGAAAGAAAGAAAGAAAGAAAGAAAGAAAATCCAAAGAAGAGCCTCCAGAGATTCTCTTAAGAGATATGTGACTATCACGCAGAGCTAGCTTGCACTTTTGTATTATTTACTTAACAAAATTTGTATAACGCTTGGCTCTAAATAAACCTCTGAGCGGCGTAAAAGGAAGATGCAAGCTGTTCACTCATAAGGATGTAAAAGCAGCCCTGCTGAACTGTGCATTCCACCCAACCAGACGCTTCCATGAAGCATAGAAGAAGAGTTTGAAGTTGATTAAACACTCTCCTGCTGTTTCCCACCAGCAATTTAAAAAAGGGCTTAAAGAAGGCCTTAAATAGATAACAATAAGACTGTGCAGACATGACACTAAGTAGTGCATTAGAGCTTCTCGTGTGCTCTCTTCCTGAATGCTGAGCTTGTAGGACAAAACAGGGGGAGAGCAATCAAAGTAAATTGACATTACAAACCGCCTTGCACCTCATGTCTGAAAATGCCCATAGAGACATAAGCTTGCAAACTGAAATCCTATCTCAAATTAGAAACAGAAAACTTAACTCGCATTTGACAAACTTTGCCCCTCCTAGCCCTAAGAAAGGAACAGTTTGGTTTGGACACAGGTCAAGGCTGCAACTTCACATTCAGAACATGGGATTCCTGGCTGTACAACCGCAGTAGTGGATGGTGAGATGGGCTGTGTTGCTTACCTGAGCTCCCTCCAGCTGAGTTTCTGCTGCACACTGGGATGGAGACGGAGACAAGGAAGGCAGTGGCAAGATCAGCACAGTGTGAATGCACCTGCAGATCCAATCTGGTCTCCTGCCAGTGCATTTACACCATGCAGAAGTCCCCTTCATGTCTCCACTCTAGTATACATCAGCGACTCAATTGGTGGGAGTTCAGGCAAGCAACGAAACCCAACCACATTGCTGGCTACTGGTTAAACCTTCCTTTGACTATCCTACCTAATTCCCAATCACATTTCCACTCTTGATTAGGAATCCCACCTCAGATCCTGTGTTTTTTGCTGTTATGTTACGTTTCCGAGCACAATTCAAAGTGTTGGTGCTGACCTTTAAAGCCCTAAACGGCCTCAGTCCAGTATATCTGAAGGAGCATCTCCACCCCTGTCATTCTGCCCGGACGCTGAGGTCCAGCACCGAGGGCCTTCTGGCAATTCCCTCACTGTGAGAAGCCAAGTTACAGGGAACCAGGCAGCGGGACTTCTCAGTAGTGGCACCCGCCCTGTGGAACGCCCTCCCACGAGATGTCAAAGAGAACAACAACTACCAGACTTTTGGAAGACATCTGAAGGCAGCCCTCTTTAGGGAAGCTTTTAATGTTTGATATATTACTGTATTTTAATATTTTGTTGGAAGCCACCCAGAGTGGCTGGGGAAACCCAGCCAGATGGGCGGGGTATAAATAATAAATTATTATTATTATTATTATTATTGTTGTTGTTGTTGTTGTTGTTGTTGTTTTATGTTTTTTGTGTTTTTCTACTGTAAACTGGTATGTAACAACAACAACAACAACAACAACAGGGAAAGTAGCAAGATGACATCTAGAACTGCACTTTATGTTGTGGTCTTAGCACCCAACTTTAAATCTCGATTCTTTCAGCCTCAAGGACAAATTCAAAATATGTGCTGGTTTACAGTCTGGTACTTGTTCATGTTTTCAAGATGCTTCCTGTGAAAGCAGAGCTGGATTTTGCTTGCCTGTGAAGTCTTCACTTTCTGCAACCCACACAATCATTAAAATTGGATAAACACGAACGCAGCATTCAGCTTGCAGACTGAAGCTCTGCAGCCACCTCACAGAATAATGATTTGAGACAAATGGCACAATTTGCGACAGAAGCCATTGTGTATGTGCACTTTGAGCAAATTGACGCAAAGCCTATGAAGAGCCGCGCGGCAGCTTTTGGGACTTTCAAAGTAACTGAGTAAGACTCTGTAAGAGTTGGGGACTGCACACACAGTCTTTTAAATCATTAGTTTGTCTTATCGGAGCTGAAGTTACTGCCAAGTTTGATTCCCAGAATCAATTAATCAAACCTACTTGGTTTCAAAATTCTTCAAATCTTCCTGCTCGCCACTGAAAAAAAGTAAGACCCAACTGTAGAAGACCTGGAACAGGAAAATCATCTAGGCTTCATCTTACATACTAAGTATGCATTCAATACCCACAATTGGGTTTGTGAGACTTTTTTTAAAAAGATATGTAATGGTACTGCTCAGAAGGAAATTTCAGCTTTAACAAACTAATCGGCTGTATAACTAATTATGCAGTTAGTAAGCCCTATCATAGGGACGCGGGTGGCGCTGTGGGTTAAACCACAGAGCCTAGGACTTGCCGATCAGAAGGTCCGTGGTTCGAATCCCCACAACAGGGTGGGCTCCCGTTGCTCGGTCCCTGCTCCTGCCAACCTAGCAGTTTGAAAGCATGTCAAAGTGCAAGTAGATCAATAGGTACCGCTCCGGCGGGAAGGTAAATTGTGTTTCCATGCGCTGCTCTGGTTCGCCAGAAGCGGCTTAGTCATGCTGGCCACATGACCCAGAAGCTGTACACTGGCTCCCTCGGCCAATAAAGCGAGATGAGCGCCGCAACCCCAGAGTCGGTCACAAGTGGACCTAATGGTCAGGGGTCCCTTTACCTTTTAAGCCCTATCATGGGTGTGCACTCTGAAGCAATACTAAGGTCAAAAAGGGGTTACTTACATATGCGTGCAAAGAACTGCTGCCATATACTGAATACAAGGCCAATGTACTAAGGAATGTATGCAGGGTATGTAAGCACACGCTTTCTGCACCAGATGTACCTACCAGGCTTGTATTCCTTACAACAGACTTGAGCAAACCAATAGCTACAATTAAGCAGAATGAAAGATAATCACACAACACACTGCAAGATGCTTTAATGGTCTTAGATCCTTTGCAAACTAATTTGAGGGTTTTTTTTTTATAAAATCAAGCAGTGTATAAACTGTATTTAAGAAATAATATTACCCCTAAAGCACTTTGAACAAAGCAATGAACTATGGACTGGATTTGCTTCAAAGCACATATTGTGTTGCAGTTTTAACTCATAGGCATCTTGCTGCGTGCGAGTAACTCTCACGTCTAAAACCACAGGTTGAATTTCAAAGAATCGGATAATCGTAGAGTTGGAAGGGACCCTAAGGATCATCTAGTCTAACCCTCTGCAATGTAAGAATAAGCAGCTGCCCCATACTGGAATCGAACATGCAACCTTGGCATTATCAGCACCACATTCTAACCACCTGAGCTATCCTAGCATTCATTCATTCATTCATTTATATATATATATATCCAGGAAGGAAAAGTGAATATGCTGTGGTATTCCCACATTCCTGGAATATCTGTCGCCATCTTCAGGCTTTCCAAAGGAACATGCAAGGCTCCAACTAACTTAAATAGAAATACAATGTATACAATGTATTGCACTCTGGTGAGCTGTTTGCTGCCCAAGTTCACGGGGAACATTAAGCACCCTGCTCCCATTACTATGGTTCTTCATTTTTAAACTGGGCTTTGACTAAGCTCTCCATACAGAGGACTCTTCCAATCTGAGGACTGTCCTCTATAAATCCCCCACTCTGTACAGAGAGGAAAACAGGCAGTGATAAGCCTTTCACTTATACTTTAAATCAGCCAACTATATTCCACCCCCCCCAGACCAACAGGAATAACTTGTACCACACCATAACTTTGATTTGCAAAAACAGGTAACCAACATGTCAGGAAGGTACCAGTCACTTTGCTTCGTAGAAGCACTCTGCATGCACGGTCCATCTCAGCCTCAGATAAGATGCTCCTTTTCTTCATAAGTCACAGGGCCATATTCTGTTACCCGGTGCAGAGCGTGCAGCTGAATTCACTATATGCTGTCGGCAATGTACTTTTACGTGACCCTTGCTCAGTAAGTTTTGAAGTCATATTTTTAGTGCTACTAAGTTGAAGGAAAAGTCATAGCACTGCTGTTCTGTTTGTATACTGACTTTCTACTACTTGCCTCGCCGGTGCTGGGTAGACACTATGCAGGACACAGGAGATAGAGAGTCCTGCCGAGGGAGGATGACGACATACAACAGACAAATTAGGAATGGATAAAGAGGTTAAAAATTGGCAGGATCTAATGGAGGAGATATGTTGGGAGCAATCAAACAGCAGGTAAGGCGAAAGATGAGAGTATTTCAGAAACTGCTTTGTTAAACAAGGGAGTTTTGAGGAGCGATCTAAAAGAACAGGCCACCGGAGAGAGGGTGGTGAGTCTCTACCACCGCCGGCAAGGTCGAAGGGAGGTGTCATGGAAGATGTCAGACTTACGCCTTCATTAGCCTCTTTAGAACTGAGGTGGAAATTCCCCACATAGAGTCACATGGGAATTAGAGGGGAGGCAAGCACGTCATTCCAGTAAAATAATGACTATAATATTAGATAACAGAAGTGACTCACGGTGTGAGGTGGATCTGCTATGCTAGCTTCCCAGCAGGTGGGTCACTGTTGCCTACTGGGAGGGGGAGAAGTGAGGGGGCAGGAAGGTTAGCATGATTCAAACACAAGAGAATTCATTTAACCCATGTTTTAAGGCTGCCAGTTCACCTCTGGGCCCAATTCAAGGTGCTCACATTAGTGTCTGAAGTCCTAAACGATTTATGCTCCAAATATCCTGGTTTGCGTATTGTTTCAGGAGTTAGGCAGGTTTGCATTAATATGTGAAGCAAATCAAATTTCTCTCCCCCATCCCTGGTAGATACCTTTTATTTTTAAAAAAGAAAGAAGAAGAGACAAAGTGGTTTAGTGGAGGTTAAACAGATGAAACATTCATATCCAACCCGGTGCTGAAGGTTCAGGACAACTAATACGTTTAAATAATATGCTGGGTTAACACAACTGCCAGGGGCCTGATCAAAAAAGAAAAGAAATCAACATTCATGGTCACTGTGGCAGGCATGGTGCTATTTCAGCTAAAAAAGCTGAAATCCTGGCAGACCCCTGGTTGACAAAGGATGGCTGAGGTTGATAATTTCCGAAGGGAACTGATAGCGTCCTGGCCTCCCTGACCACAAAGGCCAGCATAGCAGGTGGCTTCTCTGCAAGCCAGCAGCTGTGAATTGTGTTTTGGCCTGGAAAGACTCTCTTGAGAGGAGAACACAGGAAAGAGTATTTCACACTTTTTGGTACCCTTCAAAGAGGTTGTGTGGTGTTTGTTTATATATACAGTGGTACCTCGGGTTACATACGCTTCAGGTTACAGATGCTCAAGGCTACAGACTCCACTAACCCGGAAGTAGTACCTCAGGTTAACAACTTTGCTTCAGGATGAGAACAGAAATCGCGTGGCGGTGGCGCAGTGGCAGCGGGAGGCCCCATTAGCTAAAGTGGTGCTTCAGATTAAGAACAGTTTCAGGTTAAGAACGGACCTCTGGAACGAATTAAGTACTTAACCCGAGGTACCACTACACACACACACACACACACACACACACAAGCAAATATTCAAGCATCTTCTATATCCTGGTCCAAAGCCAGGACAGGGATCACCAGGGTCACAATGGCTTCGTAGAGGACTTAAAGGAAATGCCACACTCAGAAACCACAGGTCTAACCTTAGCCCTACAATTCAAAAAGGCAAATAATAATAATAATAATAAAGGGTCAATTCAATGGTGGTCTTCTCACACGACTCTGGTTGAAATGAGCATGGGTAGATTGTGCTTTCAGCATGTAGAATCTCTTCAGTTGTTCAGCTCCTTGCCCCCTGGCCACCCACAATCATTACAAACAGTTTCAGGGCCAGGGTGAAAGTTGTTGGAATATATACAATTTACTGAAATGCACAGACAGATCTTTGTAATGTTTAGTGGTGGACTCCCTTGTTCATTCTACTGAGAGGGCCCTTGACTTCTACCCCAAAGTCCTGCCCTTACAAAGAGATGATACTACATCACATGTGTTGCCTAAGAAGGAATAGCGCTGCTGCTTTCAGCATTGGCCGCAGGTCAGCTCTAACATCTAGTTCCAGCTTTAGAGGACCACGTTCTTCAACAGTTATGTTTGCTGCAGCCTTCTCCAAGCCTGAGATTGGCTGCCAGTTCATTGCCAGGCCCAATTCATGGTGCTCATGCTAGTGTTTAAAGCACTAAATGACTTTGGCCATCCTCACCTACTGACAGACCTGGGTATTACAACAACAACAACAACAACAACAACAACAACAACAACAGCAACAATAATAATTTATTATTTGTACCCCACCCATCTAGCTGGGCTTCCCCAGCCACTCTGGGTGGCTTCCAACAAAGATTAAAAATATGTTAAAATGTCACACATTAAAAACTTCCCTGATGTCTTCTAAATGTCAGGTAGTTGTTTATCTCTTTGACATCTGATGGGAGGGCATTCCACAGGGAGGGCTACCTCTGCCTGGTTCCCTGTTGCTTTGCTTCTCACAGGGAGGGAACCGCCAGAAGGCCCTCGGCGCTGGACCTCAGTGTCCAGGCAGAATGATGGTGGTGGAGACGCTCCTTCAGGTATACTGGGCTGAGGCCGTATTACAATCAGCAGAGGGGTCTCCCTTAGTAGGTCCACCTTTCTCAGAAGTTTGGGTGGTGGTGGTCCAGCAGAGGGCATTCTCTGTGACAGCTCCTAAGTTGTGGGATTCCTCTCCCACAGACGTGACTGTGGATTCTTTGCTATACAGCTTTTGACAAATGCTAAAGACACACATCTTTACTTTTGACACCTGAGATGTGTGTTTTCAGAGCCCACCGTTTTCCTGTGATTGCGATCTGCATTAACTGTTTTTAATTTAGATTTTTAAATTGTTGTCACGTGTCCTGGGACCTACTGGTGAAGGGTGGGTAATGAATAAAACAACAAACAAACAAACAAACAACAAAAACCACACGCCTCCAAAACAGCATCATAGACAATGCTCAGGAATGATGGCAGTTGAATAACACCAAACAGAAAGGTTGGGGAATGATAGGTTGGAAGTTGTTGCTCACAAGCAGCACTCAAATTTTTTGAATAAAGCCCAGCGTAAGACATATTCTTGTCAAACGCTCTCCTTAAGCTCTGAAAGCAATAATGCTCCTTTCAGCCTTGCCCCCTGCACCACCCCAGAATCTCAGGATAATGAAGTTGACCTACTTCACATGGGTGACGATGGAGATTAATTAAATGTTTATGAAACTATTTGGAGATTTTCACATGAAAGGTAGTTTGGAAGCCCACACATTTACAATTAATTTTATGTCCCCAGTCACGGCTAGAGAACCTACATGAAAGTCTGCTGTGGGTCAGTCCTAAAACTTGTTGTGCAAGCGAATGGAAACTTTAAATGAAGACATTTCCATGGTACAAATGAGAACATCATGGCTGTACAGAAGAGGAATGGTGTGGGGTTTTTTGCACCAAGACATTACCAAGGGGGCAATCCTATTGCAAGCTCTGCCAGAATGAGCAGCTTCGGATGCAGAGGGTCTCCGACCCAGCATTAAGTCCTCAACCCCAGCTCAGCCAATTATATGCCAGCATAATTTGCTCATCCTCAAGTTCAGCTAGCTGGGCTGAGACTGATGTAAGTGCCCCAAAGTGTGTGTGGATGAGGCAGGACCAAATGCGGGGATGACTTAGGCTGGATCCTAAGCTGGGTCACATGACCTGGCTACGTGGCATAAAACACTATTTAAAAACTTGTTTCCCTTCTGTCAGGCTTAGGCAGAGCAGTAGCCCCCCTGTGGAACTGGGTTTTGATCTGGTGTTACTTTACATGGACTTAATTTACCTTATTTTTGGGTGCAGCTTATATTCAGGCCAATACGGTACACACAAGCACACTCAATCACACACTGTGAGAATGAACCAGGTAAGATACACAGGGGCAGCTGTGATACCAGTTTAAAGAATTGCAATTTCCCTTTTCCCCTTTGTTTATCGTGAAGATAATTACTGTATTTTTCCATCTATAAGACGCCCACATATATAAGTACCCCCCCTATTTTTGAGGACTAAATTTTAAGAAAATGAGGGGAAATGGCCCAAAGTTGTTGAGCTTCTCTCCCCCCCCCCATGCAGCTGCAGGCAGGAAACACTCCCTAAATCGTTTCCTACTCGCTGCAGCATCGGAGGAAGTTGCGCTCCCACCAACTGGCTGGCTGGAGGGCACGCCGCTTCTCCCCCCATGCAACTATCATGTATTGAACGACCCCAGTTTTTTGACATGATTTTTGGGTCAAAAAACCTCGTCTAAGACACGGAAAAATACGGT